AGAAAACCTAGTCTTACATTATGCATGAATTTTAGATTTATTACATAATTAAATAAAATAAAAATTATAAACAATTTAACATGTATTATTTTTTTTAATAATTAGTTACATAACAATACAATGTAATATAATATAATTTTTTGTTCTAGTAGTCTATACCAAAAATTTGCCACTCAGTGAATTATTAGTAATTTTTAATACAGCTCCCAAGCATTCCCCCTGTATAAAACTGCTACTGAATTAAATCTATATATATATATATTTATTTAAATAATCTATATTATATAAATACCTATTTCTTGCATTTTCTGTATTTTATTCGGATTTTTTGACGATTTTACATTTTACAATAACACAATAGTCTGCAATAAAGTATCATGAAAACAAAAATATATAAATAATTATTTACATTAAATTATTATTTTATTATATGAAATAATGGCTACTATTAAATATTGGATAAGTTAGTTTTAAGAAGTTGAAAGTTGTAAACCTAGCGCATTCAATTTTAACATTTTATTATTATTATATATTTCATATATATATATATATATATATATATATTCCTATGAATATTTATTTTTTATTATCATTTATAAAATGTTAAAATTGAATGCGATAGGCTTACAACTTTCAACTTCTTAAAACTGACTTATCCAATATTTAATAGTAGCTATTATTTCATATAATAAAAAAATAATTTAATGTAAATAATTATTTATATATTTTTGTTTTCATGATACTTTACTGCAGACTATTATGTTATTATAATATGTAAATTTTTTGTGAAATGTAAAATGGTCAAAAATCAGAATAAAATACAGAAAATGTAAGGAGTAGGTATTTATATAATATAAATTATTTAAAGTGGATTAATGATAATTTATAAACATTTAGACAAATCATAAATGTTTGTATTTTTTATTTTAGTTCTAAAATATAGAATTTAATAAACTTATTCAAACTTTAAGCACTTCATGAAAAAAACATAAGTTTAGATAAATTAAAAATTAAACAAATAAATAAATATAAACAACCCTTAACAGATAAATAGTACCTATCTAAACAGGTAATTAATTTAATATTTATGTTTTGAATAATAAAAAAAATTATATTAAACTAATTATGAAGACAAATAGGTATAATTTACTTTGTTTCATAAGTTGGTAAAATGTATTGAGTATTTATTTTAATCTACTTAGTTATGATTTAATTGGTATTGTAAATTTCTTGAAAATTAGTTATTTTATGGTTTTTAATAATTTTTTTTATTTTTCTACCATTTTTGATCATTTTAGGTTTGAAAAAGTTAATTTATGTTCTATTTTTTTTTGTAATTCAAAAATAATAATTAAATTTCAATACATATCAAATATAATTGTTATACATATAACTAGGGTTTTGAAATCAGACAGTGAAATATTGAATTTTTTAACACAAATATTGATGATATTAATTCATTAAAAACTATGGTCAACATACAAACATGTTAAATATAATGCTCTTATAATATAAGTTATTTGTATTTTTCTATGATACTGTATAAAGATTTTAAACATGTGTATATATGCTTTTTTTCAAGTTTAAACATTTTAAATATTTTTAATATTTAAGAAACAATCATTAATGGTAAACTTTTTTTTGTTTTTAATAAATTTAATAAATTAAAAAAACAAAAAAAAAAAAAACAATGACAAATTCTATTAATATGTTGAAATATTTATTGAAATCTTCAATTATTCAACATTTTCCCAACGTTTAACTTAATACTTGATAATACTGTAATTGATATGATATAATAATTAATATGATTACTAAGAATATTATATTAATATAAGTATAAAGTAATAAAAGATCAATTAAAAAAATTTATCACGAAACCTTGTCAATTGTTTATATAATTCCTTCACAAATATAGGTTATTTCGAACTAGAGAACAATAGAAGTTAATTAAAACGTTTTTGAACCATTTACAGACCATAATTAGATTATTTTAAAATGTTTTGATGAACAAAGAATATTTTTTTAATCGTAAAAAGGCAATGCTCTAATATAAGTTTGAGAAGGGGGCTCTTATACCCGACAACGATGCACGATACGCACGATCTATTTAACAATATATTATAATATACTCAATTAATGCTACAGCCAACGCATTACTCTATATAATTTTTGCTAAAACTTCTATGACTTCTGGACTGTAAGTCTGTAAATACATTTGTAGTATATTGTATATTATTCGCATATATTTATGGTTTTGATTAACGACATATTGATACGATAACAATTATCTGTAGGATAAAATAACAATACTACAGTACAAAAAGTAAACATAACTATTCATGATTGAGTACCTACAATAAATTGTTATCACCACTACAACAATACTACCTACTGAAAAATTAAAAACGAAAATGTGCTTATAAACACATGCCTATAGGCTATAACGTATGACGTATATTGCTAAAACACAGGAATAATGCGTATAGTAGTTGCAGTTTTCTGAGGCAACTCTGTACACAATTTCGTTTCTGTTCAAAACATAATGCAGTGTAGCATAAAGGTGATATTTCACGGTTCGTTCGACTGCGTAATATAGCCAAAACGGCTAAAGGTACGACCAGTGACCGCCACCGCGTTAAAAGACGATGAAACTATACCTGTGTGCGCGTGTGTGTGTGTGTGTGTGTGTGTGTGCCACAATCAGCTTACATACTCACACATTCGATACACACGTCAAACCGACCAACTCTAAATATAAAAATAATATAGGTAATAATATATTGCAATATAGGAGACTATACTTTCAATAATATAGCAGCTACATACCGTTATTTCTACACTACTTTGTTATACACGCTTTATTCTAAAACATTTATATATTCTTAGTCTGGTAGGTAGGCAATTCATATGCTGTGCATTAACATCGTATAGCGGTGTAGTAAATTGTATATTTGTATATTATATCCCTTTGAAAAAAAAAAAATAAATACAAATAAACAGGTCATAAATTGTATATAACGCGGATAGAAAGTAAATCGTATATTGCGCAGTAATTAGTTTAAAATTTAATTTTTACGAATGAAAATTCAGTTTTAATCATTTTTACAAACATAAACCATTAGCTGTCGCTTTGAAAATAAACCTACTATACATTTTATAACTAATAACGAAGATAAAATTTCTCAATAATTTTACCTTTTAATATGTTTACAACTTCACGGATGTTCAAAATAGAGTACTGATAACATATAGTTAAATTGAAAAAAATCGTAAATGTAAACATTTTTTATATCTAATAATTACAATTAGACAATTCGTTATTATGAAATGTAGGAAAATATTTTTATTTTTTATCTATAACGGTTTTATTCATCGGTAATTGTTAACAGTTAACTTTTACAAGTGTATTAATAATAATTATATTACAATGCAGTATTACTAATACTATATAATAAATAAGTGAAAACTTTATGACAGTCATTTGATGTTTAGAATATTTCATGCATTTATTTGTATTTACTTTAACCTAATATAATAGCTCCAGAGCACAATATTTCTATGATTATTTATTTACAGATTAACATCCGTTTACTCATCGATTAAGATAGCAGATTAACACTCCTCAAATATAGATTTAGCCTTTCCTTAAAATATTTTTTACCGATTTAAAGATTGACTGTAATTTGTTTTATATAAGTCAATATATAATCTACTATTTATTATCACATCGTTGTCGACATTTTTTTCTTTGTCCAGACAATTAATTGTGAGTGATCAAATTTAAGTACATTGTAAGTAAAATTTTTCATAATTTACTATTTTAAATATTAATGAAAGTGATATATGAATCTAGTTAACAACAGTGAGAACATTTTAGATTAATTTGCATCAAGAAAAAATTGTCGTCACATTAAATTATTTTATGCAAACAAAATTATTATTAGTGTTAATTATTACAATTTAGTTCAAACAATTATGGTTTATTTTTTCTTTGTGTCTTTAATTGTATTTATTAAAATGGCGGGTCGAATAAAGCCCCCTATGGATTTACATGCATACTCGCATATATATATTTTTTTTATTGAGACTATTATAGCCCAAGCCCCCTTAGAATCTCAACCCTAATCATAATACATGACCATACAGTATATATCTACCAATACTTATAAAATAATAATTTTATCTTTTGATTGTAGTTTGTTTATATTTTTTTATTGTAAAATTATTAAAAAGTTGTAATAATGCACTATTTAAATTTCAAATATTTATAAATCACAAAAATGATTTCATGAACTAGGTCTATATATTTTTAATTTATAATGATTTTACACTTATTTATACTGCCAAATATAACTAATCGGTTCTAATTAATTTAATGATAAATTTAATTGTTGCAAAGTAAAACTAAACACCTATTTATTAGTAAAATTTATTTTTTTTTAAATTGTGCCTATAATTTTAAAACATAAATAATATATAGGAGCTTGAGTTCATAGAAAATAATTATTAAACAAAATTAATGAAAATAGGTTAGGTATTTAATCTCTTGCAAAAGTTATGACATTTATCATTTGAATTCGTTATATAAAAATTATGCAATATTCATGACAAATGAAGTACTTGATGTAAAATTGTTGTACAATTTATTGTGTAAATGTTATTCACTATTTTATATATTATTATTAAATATCTTTTTATATCAAATTTTAAATAAATTTAATTTGAATTGTTCTTAATAAACGTGCTTACGTGTCAACGTACCGACTTATTTACCTATTATGTCATTATTATTTTTGTTATTGTAGTAATATAATAGAACATCATTGTAATTTTATAGTATTTTCCACCACCTAGTTCAATTTCAATAGGGTGATTGTAACGATCAGATAAATGGTAGTGGGTAAATGGTGGGGTCGGTCTAGGATTGTTAGTAGTAATATAAAAACGAACGACGACAAGAAAATAAGTACCATAATACGAACTCTACTACCAGTATCACTTGATTATTTTTCATATTATAAAACTGTTAAATATTTAATTCTGATAATATTAGTAAATAATTTTTGTGTATCTATAAATTTTGTACAAAAATAGTTTTAACAATTTAAAAAATAAAATAAAACATATCTACTTAATTACAATTGTCACAATTGTATGATGAAGACAAATATCGTAAGTTATTAAAGTTACTTATAGTATACTAAACTTATTTTAATTTTATTGATATTAAACCAATTATATACTCAACTTACTACAATATATAATAACTATAAATATTTTTAATTCATATAGAACTAAAACATAACATTGCTATACCTGTTACTCAAATTATCAAATTATTTGTATCTGACCCGATATAATGTTAGTAATTAATGATTTTAGGTTACAAAATATTTTAACTCTACTAACTAAAAGCCTATTTTAAATAAAATGGCAATACCTATCTATCAATAGAATGATCAGCCAACAATATAATTTTAACTAACAAAAATATAATTAGTATTAAAAATCAATTTAAAAGTATAAGCCATTAGTTAATTGAAAGGAGTAATTAAACATATAAAATAAAAATTTTATAAAAGATAATTATTATTGTATTAGTTGATTTTAAAGTTATTTACTAAATAATCACTATTAAAATATTTTCAAAATAATAATAGGTTTAAATCATAGATAAAAGTACAAGTAATTCTATAAAATAATTCAAAATTTACAAGTTAAATAATTTAATAGTATTCAACATTTTTACTATATTTTTTGAATAGATAATGTAAAGAAAATTATTAGAAATTTTCTCTGAGTACAAATCATTAAATAATATTATAAAATGCTATTTTTAAATAATTAGCCCAAAAAATATTATTATTATTATTATTATTTTTTTTTTTTTTTTTTGTTAAAGTCCTAGCTAAGTAGTAGTTGATCGAAACGTCTAACTAGATATTGGTTACACATGTGTCTGTTATTAAAATTAAACATTTTTTAAATATATACCGCAATATATCCGTGCTTACTAATTAATAATAAAATATTGTATTATGTTTAATAATATTCTTATGATAATCATAGATTTTACGATTTCATTAACAATAAAATATTAAAGTTTTATCATGAATTACTAAATGGTATTGTTTTACAACATATTTACATATATTAGTATGTAGCAAGTAGCAACCCGCTGGATTCTTCGGTGTACAGTAGCATTATATTTATATGGCCCGGCGGTGTTTGCTAATCATAACCGTAAGACTTAATGATTTAAACAAATCAATTTATTAGACTGTACGATTGATTATATAAGTACGATATTATATTGTTATAACATTTATAACGAACTTACATCGATATATTCAACACACGCCCAATCTACGTAAATAAAATATTATTTTCCGTCTATTGGAAAACTACCGTGGCTTTGTATAATATTGTACAATAATATAATTAATGTATATAGGTAGTATTATATTATTGTCGTTATTTTAAACCACGACGACCACTGCCGCAATGTCGTTGCGCAAATTGTAACCACCATCGCCACAAATACGCTCGCGCACGGTTCACTACACTTCTTTATTCGTATATATATTTTGCACCATTATCGTAATATTATTTCTACATACATGTGATAGTATTGCATTAAGGTTTTGCAATAGGACAGTACATTTAGATACTCGAGTTTAATTCAGAAAATACATTTAATCACAATTATTTTTTATACAATCACAACACAACGCACGCTACAAAAAATTTTACTATATGTAACCTAAAATACAATGTACGAATACAATTGATAATAATTATTTGGATAGGACCATACAGAATTTTGACAATGCCTTACCTATATATTATGTGCAATAATGATCATAGGCATGTCTAAACTAGGCAGTTCACATTTAGGTCAGATTTCTTTAAGGATGAATTCGGGGTAGAGGAGCAAATGTTCAACCCCCTCAAAAACTCACATTTTATACATATAATCTAATAATTTAATTATATAAATAATTAAATAAATTTAAGAAATGTATATTCTTAGATTTAGAGATTTTTCTACAGTAAATATCCCTGAAAACTTGACTTCATACCTGGGTTTAAAAAGATCGACTAACTTTATAATGTTTTTTGATTATTAATAGATAAATCAACTTTAGTAAAATAATTGCAGATCGTTTTACAAATTATTTAACTATTAAACAGCGTTAATTTTTTTTAAATTGAATAAATCACTTGGACAAATTTTCGACAAATGAAAAATATTTATAAATAATATAAATTTAAAATTATTGCGATGCTTTTATTTACCTATTTGTTTTGTTTTTATAATTATATATAATATCATAATTTAACAATAAGTGCAAGTGATAGGTTTAAACTTATGTAATGTATTTAAAAATGTACAAGATAACTTTATAACTTATTACTTTATTTGATAATAAAGTAATTCTCTCCCCCTTCTCCAGTATATCTTAACTCTGAATCTATTCCCACCCCCTGTATAGACACAATTCTTGTGTATCTATTTGTGTATAAATTACGTAATTTTTTTAAGTATTTCATTATGATAAACGTACACAAAAAGGATACAGCTAAAGTATAAAGATAATTATGAAGAATATTGTTTGACACAATAAAATAATATATTGGTGTATTGACGTCATTTTATATAGGTATAATATTAAGGCCTATGGGGACAAAAAGAACAATTCAAGCACTATAGCCACGGTAGACAGCAGCCGCTGTATTATACATTACATAATATTAGTATTTAATTAAAAACATTTTCAAATAATATGTTAGAGAAATATGACTAACACGTAATTTTATTTATTGTATTCAGGAACAGGAAGGCCCAGCGATGTCGAGAAGCTTACAACTTTTGGTCATCGGAGTTTTCGTATCGGCGTGTGCGGCGTACAGTGGGGACGAAGGATCAACAGATTATTTCCGTGGTCATGAGCCACGAGGCGCCGAAGGTAACAGACAGCTGCCAGTCATATTGATGCACAAACAAGCACTGCAAGAAGACGGCGGGTTTCAGTACGCTTTCGCGGCCGACAACGGTCTTCGACAAGGTGAATCGATCCGACCGGACGGAAGTCGGACCGGAGCGTACTCGTACACAGACCCCGACGGTAAAGAAATATCCGTCAAGTATACAGCTGGTAAGGACGGTTTCCGCATAATACAGGGCGACCATGTGCCAAAAGCGCCGTTATCCGTGGTACCATTACAACAGCAATCGTCGGCGCCCGCTTACGTTCCACCGTCTCCCGGCCGTTCGTTCGCTAAGAACAGGTATACTCCTCGCCTCGATATTTAATAACAACAATAAAATATTATAATTATACGTATGTGTGTGTAAATTGTACAGTATGTACATAGTGTTCAATAAGTTTGGAAACGGTCATTAGACTAATTGATACTAATAAACGGTAATATGATATAATTAATGAAGTTATTAAATATTTTACATTATAAATGTATAAGCAGTGTTATCTGTTATTGCTCTATGTGGGTATTAAAATATGTATACAGTAATTAAGAGTTTCGAAACTTATTGAACACCTGGTAATAAGTACCTACTGGTTTCTTTCGTGGTATACGTCACAAGAGGAGCGTCGAATTGGTGTATTACCACTTTTACCAGTTTACTAAGAGACGAGGGAACCCTTTAAACGTGTCAAAAGTCAAAGTAATCAAAAATGTTGATTATTTATTATTATTTTTATTTTTTTCTATAACAATCAACAACGATATAGGTAGTATTATTTTTTTAAATTGAACTCTGTAATTAGTTATTTTACTATATCATAATGCATGATAGGTATTTTATTTGTTTATTAAATAAAAGATTTCTAGAGTTCTTGGACTCTCTCCCTACCTCTTTTAAAAATCCTGGTTACGTTACGTCAGGTTTGCACTACAGGACACTCGATTAAAATTTGGCTAGCTGCTATCAAATAGTGATGTCATTCGATAATCAAAGATTGAGTGATGATCGAATTCCACTAAATATTTACTTAATGATACTTAAGAAGGCATTTTAGTGTAGAATTTAAACTAGATTAATTGGCCCACAAAATAACACTGTCTTCATAATATACTATTTTTTTTACCAAAATTCACCTTGTCGATTGGAATATTTTCAGGTTAAGTATAATAGTATAATATTGGCTGTTGCCTGCATGTTGGTTTTCTATAGGCTTTTGAAATTATTATCCATAGATAAATTTCAATCGACATTCATGATATGATAAAACAAAACCACATATAGTAGTTCACATTTTACATGACATGCAAATGGTTAACCCAACTAAAAATCTTAATTTATAGTGAAAACCTGTATATATTATCTACTAAAATTGAAGTTATATTATTTATCATGATATGTGCGTCAATTCCTACAATTTTAATTTATTACATAATTTTTAATTTATTTTACTTGAATTATTATATTATGTTTTATTAGATCACTATTAACTGATACTTACTGTACTTACCAATTGACCACATGTTTTTATTAGTGTAGATTTGTATTAGGTTCAAATATAAATTTTATCAGCGTATAAAAACAAATAAAACGATATAATTGTATGTTTGCGTTTAGTTAAGTTTAAAAAAAAAAATTGATTATCACTATATCAATTTTTTTAATGTACACATATTATACTTTTAAATTATGTAGGTATCTATAATTTATTTATTTAGTTTTCTTGATGAATTAATTTCGTGTTGCTTAATAATAATATTTTTTTAATTCTTCTAATGATCATATAGAATTCTAATTTGAGGTTTTATACAAAAAAAATACTTAAATATATAATATGCAATCACATTAATTTAATATAGGTCCAAAATTATAAAGAACAATAATTCATCAAACATCATTCACTGTTAATAAAAAAAACATCGTTTTAAAAATTCTATTAAATTTTTGAAATAAGTATCAACTCATATTCATAATTGCTTAATCTTTTCATATACGTTACATTTATATATTAATAAAACCTTAAACTTAAATTAAGTAGATAATAGATATATTTAGCGTAACAACTAAAACATACAATTATACATATCGTTTCGTGTATTATACAATATTATTGTTATTTATACTTGGCAGATTGTTTGGAGCACCCGGTGGACCTGGATCTCAATTTAGCAGAGGCGATTTCAATGGCGGTGGCAAATTTGATCATAATAGTGGAGAAGCTTATGGTTCACCATCACCGTACAAATCGAAGTATTCGAAGCCTCAACAACACTATAGAGTTCGTGAAGATAATAGTGCCGAATTAGCGGCTAGGTACGATGACGATGGATCTTCCGGATTCGATGGTGCCGGAGATTATAGCAGTCACAGTCCGTTCCGAGCTCCTTTGTCACAAACACATGCAGCTTACAATGGCGCCAGTGATAACTTACAAAAAGATGATGCCTCTTTCAATAGCAACGAGCGACAACCACATTCGTTCGGTGGTGGTTATGCATTCGAATTTGGCAATACTAACAATAATGATGGAGCGTCACCTGAATACTAAACAAACTATGTTTTTGTGTTTCTCCAGAACTTTGATAATTAAATGTATACTCGTACACCATAATTTCAACAATAACTTTAAGAATAATTATTTTGTTGATAATTATTTATATTCTTTTTTAAGATTGTTATAAGATATCGTACATTATATAATTATGTGTATATATATATATATATATATATATATATTTATATACATCGTATATTGTTTTATCTTCTAATTTTTAAGTTTTATAATTATTATATACAAATTACAAGTATATGATTGATGATACAACTTACTTATTACTTATAAGTATTTTTTGTTATGTTTTTATTAAAAATTATTATATAATTAATAAAGTTTATAATTTATGTTATTTTTATCAACAATGCGTTGGTTTTACGACAAATCAGATTTAAGCACATGAACAATAACTATAAAAATTAACTAATAGATAGCTATACATTTTCCACACTATAAATTCAACTAAAATATTTTTGTTATAAATTGGAATTTTGTTTCCATTTTTTCTTTTATTATAATTTTCTGTATTGATATTTTTTTTTAACCATAGCTGCCAATCACAGAACCGATACTCCATAATTAATAATTATTTGTAATAATTTTGGGTTTTCTCTTTCTCTGTTAATATTATATGTGACCACTGCCGCATTTATAAAAAACGATTAATCAACCAGTAATCGGTATACAACACATATATGGTGAAATTATTACGTGTCTGTCCATCTATCTGTCTATATTGGGGCCACGACGGCAGTAATAAATAATATTTTTACTGGGTTTTTCACTAGAGGGGAATGTCATTTTTTAAAATTGTTTTTTTAACGTACCACCCACTTCCATCCTTTTTCCAATCGAAAAAATGTCCTAATGATATAATAGCAATAATAATATATGGTATACTAACTAAAATAATGCTGCAGCTATATTTCGAAAAAAAAAAACATATAATATTTCGGAGTTAAATTGTATTGTAATTTGTAGTTAAAATAAATAATTCATATAATAAATATCATGATAAACGCATAAATAACAACCGTAAGATTTTTGAGATTGGACAAAAAAAATATATTATTCAATAATCCGGTACCTTATATCATATAATTTACCATGTTATTGAATTAAAATATTTTAAATATATTTTCTTATTATTAATCATGTATAATATAATATTGCATTAATTTATTCCGCATTAGAGATCTTGTAATTATTTTTTTTTTATTAAATTCTAGTTGAAAATATGCAGATTTACAGTTTGAAGAGTCTGTATAATATTAATTGAATTTTAAATTCTTCTTCTTCTTCAAAAAAAAGTATAAAGTACTTATAAATATTTTCTTTATAATTTTATTTTAAATTTGAAAATAATACATTCATTTCATTTTTTTTTTTTTTCTGTGATAAAAATATGACTTATAGACTATAGTACATAAATTATATTGTTTTAATGATATAACTTATAAACATGGTAAACTTAATGTATAGTGTATACCATTACAGTAATATCGTCTACTAACTAGTGATATATATTGAGCATTTATGTTGTTTTCTTAATATTAATTGAAAACCATTTTACAGACGTCTTATTTATTCGTACGTTGTCACAACGTGTCAACGTCAATAGTGAATATAGCCTAAGGTACCATAACTTTGGTTAGTTATTAGTAAAAATGTATGTATTATACAATGTATATTATAAAGTATGAAAATCGATAAAGTTAAATATTATAACTTGTCATCGTGTCGAATACAAATTATATTAAAATAATATGTAGGCAACTTAATTTCAACACAGTATTATTGATCAGCTGTTCTTTAAAAACTGTTCATACTATGTAACTACTACATCAATATAGAAAAAATGTACTAAAATAAGTAGATTCTCCGATGGATTCTAACTTCGTATTTTTTTTATTTTTTTTTTTTCTAACCGATCTAATCTGGATTTAATAACTTAATAATCTCCACTTATACGTCGTACCCACAATTTAGTAGCTATATCAACTATAACTAGGGTTTATAACTTAATTATATCCGGATGTATTTCATTAAAAGGTTATAAAGTTTCATTTTATGTACATAAAGGAACTAATTTAAAATAGGTAAAACTAGTGCTATATAGTAGTATAGTACGTTACTATAATGCGCATATTATAATACATATTTATATATTATAGACATTATTTTACGGTTAAAACGTTTACATTTTTTTTAATATCAAAAATTATCTGGATAGTATTAAATCGAATGCATATTTGTTCAGAAAACGCAAGACGGCTGTATGTGTGCGATACTGTGGTGATCAGAGATAGAATCGCTACAAGGCGGATTTCGCTGTTTGATAAACCATCGCGTATAATATATAATATAGGTACTGAAGACGGCAGCGATAAATAATTAATTAATTAATTAATTAATTGGTATTGTAAAGCTCATTTCCCTTTCAACACTGTTACTGGCACCATGCAAGTGTAGCGTCTGGTGACTTGCGACTGGTGAATGAGTGTGTATGTGTGTGTGTGTGTGTGTGTGTGTGTGTGTGCGCGCGTTCTCTTTGATTTAGAATATATCATAAAGCACGAAGAAGACAAAATATTGTTTATGAAAAAATATCGTAGCAAGCACTCGTCACGCGATATTCATTAAAACGTATATTACATAGGTACCCCTACACCGCGCTCGTACGTCGCGTATAGATGTATAATAATATACCTTCTATAGTTATATCTATACCTACCCATATAATATACATATTATAGTCATACCGTCACCCATCACAATGAGTAATAGTACCTATAACATAATATACTGTATAATATAATAATATTATCATCGTCCATATCTACGCGTTTATTTCCCTCGTAAAATCGAAACATCGAAATATTTTATCGTAACGGTTATTATTTTTTATCATCGTATAACTTTATAACACTGCGGCGTTGTTTTTTATACGTACAAAGATACACATACACACACACACACACTCACACACACTCATACACACGTAGGATGTGCATACGATAATATGTACAATATATATTATATTATTATTATTATTATTATTATTATTATAATATGTATTATGTACGATGTAGTGTAAAATACTGACGATGTGGCGGCGACGGGTGTGTTGCGCGCGCCGTATACATGCGCCGACGTAATTATAATTATTGTATCGTCTCTGCCGTCGTCGTCGTCGCCGCCGCCGCCGCCGCCGTCGCCACCACCGCCACTGCCGCCGTCATCGGGGTTGTGTGGTAGTAGCAAGCGGCAGTGGCAGTTGATAGCGGTCCTTCGCCGCGTAATGGTTTGTCCACCGCTGTGGTGCCGAACGTCTATTATCATCGCCGTAACAACAATAATAATATTATTACTATAATAATAATAATAATAATGATAATATAATTTAAAAAAAAAAAAAAAATAAAAAATTTTCATTTCTCACGCACGCGCATTTTTCGAACGGTTCGATAATAATAATAATTATTACTATTATTATTATTATAATATTTTAATATCGTCGTAAAACGATCGCGAGTAATCTGCACGCCGTCACCCCGTCGATCGTCGCCGGCCGGTATTGGTGTGGTGGTCGCTCTCCTCCGCATAATATCGTAATTTTTATATATTATTATTGTTTCGGAAAACAGAATTTCGTTTTCGGCCCCGCCGCTGGTCTTATGTAACAATAAATATTATTTTTTGTAACGGTAAAAATATATCGATCGTATTATACTCTTAATTATTATTATTATTGACTTACCTTCATTTTTTTCTTTTTTTTTTTTTTGTGTCGTTCTTGTTGTTTTAGATTATTAATCATAATAATAATATTATACGGATGACACACGTGTTCGAAACGGCGTGGCGCAGTTATAGTCGATAAAAATATAACACACGACATAATATCCATTGTATTAAACTACGGTAATACCATCCAAACGCCTACAATAATCGCCCCGTGGCGTTCGACCGCGATTGGCATACAAATGTGTCGCTTTACGATTTTTCGTCCGATAATAATTATTAATAACAATTGTACGTTATACGCGCACCGCGAATAACACCGCCGCTCTTTTGGAATTATTGGTCTTGACGCGAGCCAAACACGTTAGCTGGCCATTATAATACATATAATTATTATTGTTATTATTATTATTATTATAATGGTATATGTATTTGGAGGACATTGATTTTGACCAAGCAGGGGACTCGGCAACTCGGCGCCGGCACAATTACCATAATAATAATTGATTAATTAATTGACGACCACGGCCACGGCTTGTGAAACTACACCGGTGAGTACACACCATCATCACAAAGCATGCTATTTTTCAATTTATAATAACATTTATCAAACGCCGTATCTATTACATCGATGATTTTTATTTTTTTTTCCAATGATATTATTGCCAACAATGTACGTATTAATTACAATAGCAATAGGTAATGTACTAATGTGCATCTTAAGAATGTAGATAGGTACTTCACAGTTTTACGAATTCTTTAGGACTAGATGCATAAAATAAATTATGTAATCATATACCTATATATAATATACAAGACACAATAGAATGAAATAAAAAACTTCTAAATCTGTTTTTATCACTGCTTTTATTTTCGTTTTAGATGGTTTCCGCTTCACAATTAGTAATATTGAATGTGAGTAAACTATATTGTGTGAAGTGTTATTTTTATAGTTTTTTTTTTTTTTTTTATTTAATTTCCAAAAATTTTATTTGGTAAATAAATGTATTGTTCTCCTCAAAGTTTTATGATTGTGTTGGTTGATCGTAATTATATAATTATTGAATAATAACCATAATAATTTACTTGGATTATAAAAAATAGCAGCATGCCAGCATTAAAAATAATCATAGTATTGATGATAATAGTTATTAGTTTGTTGAGGGTGTTTCAAGTTAAACGATCTATTGCCTTGCTTTCATATATCGTCATAGGTATATAAGCATTATAAACTGATATTTTAATCGCTTACTACAACACGCCCTAGCATATTATACATATACGTGCGTTCGCACGTAGGTATCGATACTAAAATATTTGAATTATAATAATAATCATTATTATTATTTTATTATTATTATTATTATTATAATGACCACGCCGCTGTACTATACCACTACAGTATAGGCTACTTAATTATAAACATAATATTATTTATAATACCATCGTCGTAAAATAGTAATCGATTTCACATCGTTTTAGAAGTTATAATTATAATTTAAAAATTACGAGTTTGGGGAGCAGCGTTCCTGCCTCCGGCTACTCACTAACCAAAGAGAAAATAATATATGTGTGTGTATACGCGTTTGATTGTGTGTATGTGTGTACAGTGTGTATAATGGGCTAAAAATGACGTAGTATAATTACGTTTTCCATTAAATAATTAATTTTTACCAAAGATTATCACAGTAGGTAGATACATACACACACATCTATATATATATATATACTATAATACTATAATATATTATATATTAGACGAACATATAATATGGTAATTCAACCATAAATTAATTACTGTAGTAGAGATTCGTAATATAATATGTGTGTGTATGTATTATACATAATATATGTAATGTATGACAATGGAGAGCTAGGTTCAATGGGGTAGTTGCTACTTAAATCATGATGAGGTGTCCGAGTACTATAGTTAAGGTCATTGTTAATAATATCGTGGCGATGTAGAGAAACAGCAGCGGTAGTGCGCGGAGGCAGTGGCAGTCAATTGACGTTATCCGGCGGCATCCGCTCAAATATTATTATATCGTCGATGCGTTATAATATTATAATTTATAACGACGTCTATAAGTAAATGACAGTGATAATATAAGTAGAATAGAATGAAATTGGCATGTATTATCCACCAATAAAATTTTAAACGGACGATTATTAGTGTCGTATAATATATCAATGTATAAGGCGGATGCTGCATTAGCTACAACATATCGTATATTGTGACGTTTGTATGACCAATTAAAATGTATAGGAACTCGTACAATGTTTATACGAGATGTTTCTATTTAATCGCCACGCAGTTAAACGATACAATTTATTGAGTGTGTGTGTGTATGTATGTTTCAGGACGTCGATGAAATAAATCCAAATCAAATTGTTTTACATCGAAAGTATATTATAATATATACCTAGGTATATTGTCGCCCGCAAACATGAAGGTATCACCGCTGTTGCCGCAGACGTCGGCAAAAAAACAAGAAGATGTTCCACTTCACGACAACTCGGAAGCCACTAACAACTGTTTGAAACGTCGTCGGCTCCATTCGCAGACGAATATTATAATCAATGGTCACTACCGACACAGTAAACACCAGTACCCTAGGCATGACGACAAATCGTCATCTATGGATTGTTTCGACACTATTAGCAACAGCGTTAACGGCAACAGTAACAGTAGTTGTAACAGCAGCAATAGCGGCGAAGACGCGAGCGATTGCGACGATTCGCCGCCGAGGCCCAACAGCCACCCAAATCAACAATATCCAGAAGGAGGGGCGTCCACGCCGTCGCCTGCTCATAATCAAAATAAGAAGGTACGTATTATTTTCTCCGATTCGTCATGATATAATAATAGCGTTAGCGAGCGTTAATATCGCTTGTTGTACACCGTAATATTATGATAATGTTCGTTCATTTACGTATTTATGTTCCTTACTATCGATTCGATCGGTATTTATATTAAAAATAGTCTATGTTATAATTATGAAAAACTACTATTGCAATAATTTAGCATCGATCGAATCGATGACGACGACGGGGATGTATATAAGAGCCGAGAGATTAAAAGGCCGTGGCGAGTAATAAGCTTTGAAAATAAGTTATTAAGCTGATATTGCTACAGCGGTACGGCGTGCTGGAATAGTGGTAGTGATGGCAGAGGTCGACGACAATGACGACGTAATTTTTCTCTGCTTTAGGGTGAAACGGTAGCGCGGCAAAGGCGGTGGCGGCACCAGTGGTGACGGCGGCGTCGGCGGTAGCGGCTATATAATAATAATATGACGCCGCCGCCAGCTTTTACGTTTACCTTCCCTGCACCTTCCGCACTCAATCTTATTCCCTGTTGTTATGTCAATGCCGCCGTATTTTTAAAAGGGTAGGTCAGTTTCGCCGGCCGCGTATTATACACACAACAGTCGTGTATAGTAACAATAATAATAAACGTAACTATACAAACTATATGACTTGACCTATAACACTATCGCTACAGTGCAATAAAAATATACATACGAGTAATAGGTTGTTTATGATATATGTTTGAAATAATATTATCATAAAATGATTTCCTGAATAAAATCATTTGAATGGCAACGGTTAGATAAGTTTGTAATGAAAATAATTACAATTTTAAAAATTATTATTTTTAATCGGATTAAAAGTATGTTAATTGATGTTAAATTATTTTATTTTAAAGTAAATAAATTTTTTTTTTTTTAAAACATTCAATTAATTTGGTTTTAATTTTAATTTTAATGAAAATCACTACTCGCATTCTGTCTAAACTTATTAAATCAAACGTACTTATATAGAGTACATCGACGTATATTGCGTACCGTACATATGCATAGCATGTAGTATTCTAGAGTAGGTACATTATTTTGCAATTTTATTGAAAAATGATAAAATAGTTATTCAAATGATTACGACCTCTCTCTCTCTCTCTATATATATATAATATATATATATATATATATACATTAAAGAATAGCTTTTCCATGCACATATACAGCTGCGTAAATGAGATGTATACATTGAGATAGTGCAAGCCGGGGGTGAACACGCAATAAAATCGTGACGCGGCACGGGGTAAGGCCGGTAAGGGGCAAAGAGACAAGTGGTAATAGTAGCGGTGGTGGCGGTAGTAATGGCGTTGGTCTGCTGTTAGTACTGCAGCAGCGTTTATAGAACTGACGCCGGTGGGGGTGGCGAAAATGGTGAAAACAGTATATATATATATATAATGTATATTATATATATTACATAGGGAAGGGTACGATATTATAATTAGATGACGTAATAGTAATAGTGGACCGTATACGAGGGGCGGTGAACGGCGGTATCGGTGGCGGAGGAGGGTGAATAATCCCATTTGCTTCGGCCCTGTACCCTGATTTCATACCACTACGTCGACTGACCAACCCTTTACCACCGCCGCCACTGTACACACACACACACACACACACACACACACACACACACCCACGCGCATACATACACTACACGCACATGCATTCTCTCAACCGACCGACGCGTTCACCCCGTTCCTATATACCACCACCGCCTCCGCCGCCGCCGCATCATGCCGACCTGCTGGCATACAACGCATAAACCCTCTCCTCCACCGTTCTCATCGCCCCTTATTCGCTCTATCCGTTTTCCTTTTGCTGTATATATATATATATATATATATATATATATATATACAATATACTATATAGGCATTCGTCGCCGTCTCCGTCGTCGTCACTGTAGCTGCCGCCGCCACGTATATGTTCTTCACCATATATATAATATAATATTTAATATATGTGTGTGTGTGTGTGTATTGTGTACGCACCATCCTCTGTAGTACACGACCGAACTGACAGACCTGATAGTAATTATAATTTCATCTCTTCCCGCTATCCCCGGCGCATAACACTGCATGCTGTCACTGTTAACCGTCCGAACATCATCCGACCACCGCTGTACCGTCTTCACCTGCTTCTGTACCGCTACCGCCGCCACCGCCGACTCGGTCAGAAACCGGTCAGTCCTAATAAAATCGCTTCGCATCCCGATTACAGTTTTCTGGCCTTTATCTGCTGTTGCGAGTGCGTCGCACGCGCATTCACGCACACACTACTGTAGAAACAACTGTTACCACTGAAATAGTATTGAGCAATATGACGTTTACGGCTGCAGTGCTCGTGTAGAGTACATGGATATCGTGTATAAGTTGCGCGCGTACCACATACATAGTTCACTGCCTACTACTACACCAGTACAATCGAATTTTAATCATCGCTCTGCGACTTCAAACGTATACAAAGTTTCTCGCCCACGCGCTCTCGTTTTACGCTGTTATTCCGAATTCTAATACGCAATATATTTCATATATTTTTATCACACTTTTACGATTATCGCATTTTTTCGTCTACGGTTTGTAGTTTGTACGGTACCTATAGGTAATAAATTTTTGCCGCCGCTGTCGTGTATATAGGTATATGTTTTCTTCTAGGAAGTGATAATATTGCACCGTACATATAAAAACACGAAGAAAGTCAAATGCGTTTAAAAATATTATTGCATTCTATCGAAACGTATAACATTTTCCCGGGAAGAAGAATAGAGAGTGGGATTTATTGAAGCATCGCCGCTATACCGTCGCCGCCGTTACGATGAGAGTTATATATACATGTACGTGTATATATATATATATATACGCACACACACACACACATATATATATATATATATAGGCGGCAAATATAAAATATAAGCAGCGACAGAACTGTTGGGCCTAGGCAGCGTCGGCGGTAATCTTATTATTGTATTATAATAAATTTACATATATTAATCAACAGCGGCGGCGACTCGGACGGATTTTAATTATATATCCCGACGCGGCTCGGGCCAGCCCGTTCGATGGTGATGGTGGTGGTGGCGGCGGCGGCGGAGGCGGCGGCGGTGCTGCTGCTGCTGGGGTGCCAACCCGTACCGTCATCCCCACCCGGCCATCACTCTACCACCCGCCACTGGTATATACTGCAAACTATAGTATATAATTATATATCGTCGTCGGTGCAAGGGAGGTGTGTGTACGAGAGAAAAGGGTACTACGCTGCTACCCATCTACTCGCCGCTCGCCGACGATCTCTCGCCTCTCGCGCACATTATTCGTATTCCCGCTGCCGTATTATTTACCCCTATCCACGCCTCTGTCCATATATAATATATATATATATATATTATGTATATATATATATATATGAATATAGATAGATATGTGTGTATGTGTGTGTGTGTGTACATACAAAAGCGAATATATACATATTATATATATATATATATATATATATTCATATAAATATATAAGAGTAAAAGGGGTACGCCGTCGGTGCTCATTTACATTAATCCAATAATTGCTGCATGCAGCGGCAGTAGTAACATTGGTATGAGGAAAGGAGAGAGGTGGTGGTAATTAGCAATTCAAATAAGCGGCGCCGCCGATGCCGCCACCACCGCCACCGTCACCGAAGTCTATGGTGTGGGGGGTAATAAGCTCGAAGGCGGTGGTGAGTATAGTATATAGAGTAACGCACCCGCCACCAATAATATTATTTTGTGCCGTCGCTGAAATAATTGTACCATGTTTTTTTTTCAACTTTAATAACATTATTATATCGCTCACATATAAGTGTGCATACGTATAAAATATGATACGGCGTGATAGGAAAACTCCGGAATTCCGCTAAATCTATTCGCAGTGTTTGAAAATAATGTGCACCTACCTATATATATGTAATATGTATATATTTATTATGGATTTAATAGGCACCTACCTACAACGAATGTGATCGCTACTGCGCGCGATGGCAATAATAGCGGACCCCTTTGTAACTGGCGTACCATCATATTAAATATTATATTATATACGTTTGTGGTTAGGTTATATATATATATAATATATAGTGACCGTCCGGGTTAGGAACGCCTCTCTCCTGACGTGACGAGGGGAGGGAGAAATTACGATGATGATGATGATGATGGAGGACAAAACAAAAATACGAGTTGAAAAAACAAAATAAAATTATAAAAAAAAAAAAAAAAAAAAAAATCGACAAAAAATAATAAAAATTACTGACAACAGGAGCAGAAGAGGGCAAAACGAGGACGAGTGTGAGTGTGCGCGCGCGCAAGTTATGTGTGTGTGTGTATATATATGTAATTAATTATTCCAACGGCAGCGACCGCCGCCACGGCGGTCTGATATATATTTTTTCATTTCATTATTTATTACGATTGTTTTTTTTCCGCTCACGTCCGTCCGACTGGGGCAAAACGTCCGTCCAAATACGTATATGTATATATAATATAATATGTATATAAAATACATATATACATATATTTATGTTATTATTTTTATAATTCGCCGCCCTCTACAGCTCGTCTCGTATAATAATATTTGTTTTTTTCCAGAGTTTTTATTTTTTTTTTTTTGTCCGCAGTGCGTACGTTATTATTATTATTATTATTATTTTATTATTATGATTTTACATGAACACAAAACTTTCGAAAATGACAACATACGTACATTGAAATTTTGAAAATAGTCAACACTTTATAATAGTTATTACAAAAGAATGATAAAACGATTAAAAAAATAAATCTTCGTTTGATCAAAAGAAGATTTTTATATAGTGTTTTATAATTTAAAAAAAAATGTAATTATTCTTATTGTAATGAATAGTTATAAGGTGTAAGTAGAAATTACAACATTATTGTAGGTAAATGAACTTAAAAGTTCATTTCAATCAACTTTCATAATTAA